TAAAGTTAGCAACTTTACGTGGTAACTTAGTCCTAGGGGACCAGATCTATGGTTTGGAAGCATTGAACTCAATTGGAAACGACTGAATGGGTGTAGACTAAAGGAACTCGACGAGTTGTTCATGCAACTCGGCGAGTTGGATCGTGATCCCCAACCTTTTCTGATTCCTGAGCAAACTTGGTGAGTCTAGGAGACGACTCAGCGAGTTGGTTAAGGTTTTCCGAGTTTTGAAGATTAAAGAACTTGACGAGTTCAAGGAAGGACTCGACGAGTTGTAGTGAAATGTACCGATTCTATTGATAGGAGATACTCGACGAGTTCGTGCAAGAACTCGACGAGTTCGTGCAAGAACTCGACGAGTTCGTGCAAGAACTCGACGAGTTGGATCGTGATTTTAGGGTTTATGATTCATGAAACTCGACGAGTTGATGGACCAACTCGGCGAGTTGAGTCAACTTAGGATGTTGACTTTGACCAGAAGGCTAACTTTGACTAGGGTGTTGACTGTGACTTTGACTTTGACCAAAGTTGACCCGTAAGGGGTTATGGGTATGAAAGGGTAATTAAAGAAGTTCTTTTGTGTGTAGGAGATTGAGTGGAGTTGATTTCAGAGCCGAGGACAGTTCAGCTACTTCACGACATTTGAGGCGAGTTACCTACCAGTAGAAGTGGGTCGAAGGCACTAATGCCGACCCACTAGTAAGTGTTATAGTAAAGATGATTGTCTTTGTGATAATTATCCGGTATGACACTATCTGTTATGCTTTATGTACTAGTATGCTATGATATTATGTGATAGTGGTAGAAGGGGTAGGATAGGCCCCAGTACTGGTCGAAAGGACCGAAGGGATAGGCCAGCACCCTGATATGCTAGGCAGTATGTGACTTATGTGTTTATATACTAGGATATTATATGGTAGAAGTAGGGGGTGAAATAGTCCCCGATACCGGTCGAAAGGACCGAAGGGGTAGGCCAGTACATTGATATGCTAGGCAAGGTACCGGTCGAAAGGACCGAAGGGGTAGGCCAACACCCTGATATGCTAGGCAAGTTACCGGTTGAAAGAGACCGAAGGGGTAGGCTAGTACCCGGACATGTTAGACAGTATGTTTATTGTATGGTATGTGGTATGATAGGGGAACTCACTAAGCTTTATGCTTACGGTTTTCAGTTTTTGTTTCAGATCCTTCTTCTTCGAAGGGAAAGGAGCCAGCACGATAGCAACGCATCACACCATAATTTTCCGCACTATGATGTTCTTGGGATTTGTACTCTGACATTATTATCTTATGACTTATTTTGAGACATATGACTTATGAGATTTTATGATATGAGAAAACTTAATGATGTTTTCAATAATCTGTTTTATGAATTATTAAATCAAAAATGAAATTTTTGGTCTTGGATTTTGGGATGTTACAAAGGGTGCAGTTAGGGTAACTAGGTTTCAAATTGTGCCATTTTAGGGAACAGTCTTCTATTTTTATACGGATGCGGGTGGAATAGTACATACGTGCCCTCTACGGTTCACATTCCAGACGACATCGTTTGGGTCGTTGGATGTAATTACGATTTTGTCATGTCATCGTTGATGTGTCAAATGAGGGATGATGTGGCAGAGTTACCGGGCATAATAAGTAAGAGAGACTAAATTGCTAGGTTTCTACACATTTCGTTCCCTCACAAAGCCACTTAAAAGGTTAAGTGACTAAAATGGTCAACCCTCATATGTATCATTTTCCCAAAACTTAAATTTTCCAAGGTCATTTGTTTTCTTACTAGTCATGTGTATAATTTTTCCTCAACTTTGAACGCTCATAGCTCTCTAATATGTACTCGAATTGGGCTTATTTTTTTATATGTGTTCTTTGTTGTTCTATCATCATCTCATATCAAGAACCTTCTAGTTAAACTCGAGCACCGAGTTCTATAGTTGCAAACAGAAAATTGATACTAAAATGAGAATGATACCAAATTACTAGAATCGGAATCAAACCATACCATATAGTACATATCGGTTGGATATGCAATCCATAACTCGGTGTTGGTATTTTCAGGTTCGATACCGGATCAATACGGTTCCGGTACCGAGGTCAACCATATTTTTCTTATACACTTATACACAAATAAAAATTACAATTTCCACCTTCCAACTATTATCTTCTAAGTTTCAACTATAAGTTAATTTTTGGTTAACTATAAGTTAATTTTACCAAAAAATATCCTTATATCCGCAATTGGTTCACGAAATCACCCTCGAAGGGATAATTGCTTAGGGCAAGTTGTGGAAACCCACTACATATGCCAGGCCATTGACCTACAAAAAGATAAGTTGCCGGCCATTTTCATAAAAATAAGTAAATAGACGAAAATGAAAAAGAAAAGAAAAAAAAAAGTATGCTCTTTTCTCCGTCCTACACGTTAAATTTCTTTAGGTGTGAATAAAATAATTTTTGCTATATAATACTTACAAGTTATAGCGAGTCAAAAAAGAAAAAGAAAAAAAAAACAATGAAGTTATGATAATAAAAATAAAACATGTCAAATGATATTTGGTGTATTTATGCATTTACAATTTTCTAATTATTTCATTTATGTGAGAACAACTTAGTTTAAGCTATAACTTTTTTTTAAGGCTGTATAAACTATAAACCAATGATATCATGCTGGCCCTTTCTGGCTTCCTCTACTCCATTTACTACGTCTCTTTTCTTTTTTAAACCCAAGTATTTTAATAAACAGTTTTATTCCGAAAGATAAAAATAAAATTGACAATACACAACTAATTACACGTCAATCAACGAGGTAACGTTTTGCCCCGAAGACAAACTACTTTTTGTTATCGAATATGAGCCACTTCATGGAATAGTGGAGTGCAAGAATTCCCATTAAGGACCACTAAAATCATCATCCACGTAAAATACAACTTGACCATAAAGCTGGTGTTCTCATGACACAATTATTGCTCATTTAAAATTATCATCTTCAAATTCAATTCCCACATCTTAATTAACAAATAATTACTAAAAAGTACACGGATTTTGCTTTTAAAAAACAATATAAAATTTCCAGTTTCCTGGAATCTTCTATCTGATAATATAAGTCAAAGAGAGCTGTATTTATCTTATTATTAACAACAAAAATGATATAAACAATGTAACATTGTGAAGAAAAGTAAGACAATGTTAATCGTTAAGTGCCCCGTGCCCCTCATCATTTATAACCCAAACACCCTCTTCATCAGACAACTTCTCAAAAACAACAAATTTATGAATCAAAACAGCAAATTTGAAACTTGAGAGCAAAAAATGACTTCACCTTGCATCAAGGAAGTCTCTAGAGCCTGTTTCAGACGTTGCTGCCCGACTCAAATACTCGGGCTGCCCGAGAAACAGAGTCCAGAACAAACGATTTCACCTTCCAGGTATGATTTCATTGCTGCAACAGCCTTTTCGCTTCCTCCAAATGCTCAATTCACTAACCATGAATCATTACCCGACCTCGAACGATCGTTTTCCACCATGAAAAAAGCTTACCCTCACTACCCGGAGACTGACCGAGCTGACCGAATCCGGAGTGACGAATTCTATCACCTCTCGAACAATAACCATGTATGTCTTGATTACATTGGTCATGGGTTGTTTTCGTATTCGCAACAGTTACATTCCAATGCGCCTTTTTTCAATATTATATACAAATCAGTGAATTTGTATGCACAGATTACGCATGGTGGTCAAGAACAGGAATTTGAATCGGTTATTAAAGAAAGGATTTTTAGGTTTATGAATATTTCTTCGGATGATTATTCTTTGGTTTTTACAGCTAACCAGTCATCAGCATTCAAAGTGTTGGCAGATAATTACCCTTTTCATACAAATCGTAATCTTTTGACTGTATATGACCATGAAAATGAAGCTGTGGAAACCATGATTGAGAGTTGTAAGAAAAGGTCAGGGCGAGTTGACTCGGCCCTGTTCTCGTGGCCTAACATGAGAATCCAATCGAAAAGACTCAGGAAATCGGTTTCGGTTGTGGATAAAAACAAAAAGAAAAAGAAAAAAAAGGGACTTTTCGTTTTCCCGCTTCAATCTAAAGTTACGGGAACACGATACTCGTATCTATGGATGAGTTTAGCTCAAGAAAACGGGTGGCATGTTTGTCTTGATGCCAATGCATTTGGAGCAAAAGACATGGAGACATTAGGACTCTCTCTTTTCCACCCAGATTTCTTAATCTGTTCATTTTACAAGATTTTTGGAGAAAACCCATCTGGATTCGGGTGTCTTTTTGTTAAAAAAACAAGATCAACGATTCTCAATAACTCATCTACAACCACAGGATTGGTTAACATTGTTCAAGCTTCTAACCGCCCTCTGTTTCTCCAACAATCCGGGAGTCTCAATACATACGGAAAACGAGAAGACATAGCCATGGCAAGCTCAAGCTCCACCTCCAGCTCATCACTCTCCAATCAAGAAACCTTCGAAATACAAGAAATCAAAGGAATTAATAAAGAAAAGACGGAATTGTCCCTTTCTGATCTCTGGAAACTGGATAAATCCGTTGACAAAAACGAAGCAAGCACCAGTGGGGTTACCTCAGATATCGAGTTTCGTGGGTTAGATCATGCAGACTCGTTAGGTTTGATATTGATAAGTACGAGGGTAAGGTACCTGGTCAACTGGCTGGTCAATGCATTCGGTAGTCTTCACCATCCACATTCGGAAGACGGGGTGCCTTTGGTTAGGGTTTATGGGCCAAAAGTGAGGGTGGATAGAGGTCCTGTGGTGGCTTTTAATGTGTTTGATTGGAAAGGAGAAAAGGTTGAACCTACACTTGTGCAGAAGTTAGCAGATAGACATAACATTTCTCTTACTTATGCGACTTTAAAACATGTTAGTTTTGTGGACAAGAATTGTGAAGAAAAGGAAAGATTAGTAGAGGTAAAAGGCATTGAGAATGAAGGGCGTAATAGTCCGATGAACAAAAGGAAAGAGAAGATAGAGATAGGGATACCTGTGATCATGGCTACAGTTGGGTTTTTGACAAATTTTGAAGATGTTTATAGAGTGTGGGTGTTCGTTTCAAGGTTCTTGGATGCAGATTTTGTGGAGAAAGAAAGGTGGAGATATATGGCGCTTAATCGGACAACTGTTGAGGTTTAGATTTGAAGGTCAAAGATTTCATTTCAAAAATTTTAATTCATCATTCAATTATTCATCTGTTCATAGAATTTCCGATACATAAATAGTTGTCAAATGGGATCTCTCATTTGTAGCATCCGTGATGCAAGTAGGAATTCAAGAATCAATAAGCTAATAAACTGCAAAACATTTTATAATTCTCCTGCTGTGTTGTTCAGAGTTTATCTTTTCTACATGTCCATTCACGAATTCGTTCATACGACCTACATAGTGTTCTATCAGTGATGCTAAGCCCTAAAAACGTTTGAGGATCACAAATTGATCAAGGACTAAACCTATAAAAGCCGGTACCAAAGGTAAATATATGAAGTTAGTGAATCAAGGGTCAAACCCATTTTGTATTAACAAATGGCTTTTAGCCGAGTAGTATTAGGTGGTGTCATCCCTCTTTGAGGTCAAATGTTCAAATCCTGTCGTGGACGTAGGTGGATTTGGGTGTTACTTTAGGAGTAAATTATATACTCCCTCCGTCCCAAAATTATTGTCCACTTTACTATTTTAGTTTGTCCCAAAATTTTTGTCTACTACCAAAAGTAATATACACTTTTACCATATCATCCCTAACATTTAATAAAGTAAACTTGAATAATTACAAACGCACATTTCCCATTGGTTTTAGAAAAAGCCAAGAGGGTCATTTTACTCGAAAAGACAAAACTCATGATTGTTTTTTTCTTAATCTATGTGTTTTTTGTCTATGGACAATAATTTTGGGACGGATGAAGTATTATATTGGCCGGTTAAAAAAAAACCCCTTTTGTATCACTTAAATGCATAATCTACCTGAGAGCAATGTAAGGACTTTGTAAAAACGACAATGGATCTAACTTCTATTTTAAAACTGAATTGAATCAAACAGGAAAAAAAAATTCGGACAGTTTCTACACTTCAAAAACCAAAATTTTCGATTTTCAGTTTGGTTCGACCAAAAATCGCACATTGCTTGCCCTTACTTTCAACAAAGCTCCCTCTGTTCTACATCGGAGATATTCGTATCATCGGTTTTCCATTGAAATGTCATTGTTTCATTTCCTTATATCGAAATGTATTTCGGTCTCTATAAGGTTTTTGAGTTTTTGTAATGTTGGCGTTTTGTTTCAAATATGTTCTCTAGTTTTCGGAGTCCGAAGTGCTACTTTTTAATGTTTCAAATGAAAATTGTTATATACATTTCCCTGCGCCTTATTTACATGGGGTTTAAACAAAAAAAATGTAGTTTTTAGTTGTTTTCTCCAAATGGTAGCATTATGGAGTATCATTACCAACAAGTTTTTCGTATTTTGGATTTCGAACATGTTTAACTCGTTTATTTCTTTGGATTTCGATTTTCATAGTAAGATGTTTAACTCGTTTATTTCTTTCTTTTGCTAATACCGGTCATTAAACACTGGAGAATTAGTATAAAAATGTGATTGTTACTGGGAATGAATCTAAATAAGTCAACGTGCTAATGACACTTTTTAAAAAATTTCGGATTTTAAACCTAATACCATCTGTAAGAAACCTAAGGAAGAAATTAGGTTTTAGTGTAAAATGTGTCTCGATAAAGTTACTAATAACGCATTTACACCCACTAGTCGATAACTTTCTTGTTAGGATTTTATGTAAAATGTGTGCCAATAATGGCTCTTATAACACATTGTTGATCCATCATTTACTGAAGGTCTAGGGTTTATGTTTTAGAGTGTATGATATTTTGTAGGGTTTATGTATTTGAGTGTATTGTATTTCGTTATATATAAAAGAAAAAAAAATTGTTTGGTTTTCTATATTTATTTTTATTGTATCATTTCTTCTCTAAACGAATGCTATGGATTTTTGTAGTACGTGTAACATCTACTTTCCATGATGTTTGTAATTTCGGGATAACGGGCCATAATTTGATCGAGTAAAGGTCTTGGGCTTCAAAGGAATAGAGTTTAGACCATATCAGATATTTATAATGTTGGTTAAGTGATTAAAGCCCTCAAATTGTGCTTTGAAACAAAGGGTAAATTTGGAAATGTGATATTTTAGGCTTCTTGCATGAATTAATGATTTTATTTCGGTATGTTTTTAGTCAAAAGTAATTAGATAAAATTATGAGGCTCATTAATACCTTCGCGTGCATATAAAGATCACCGAAAACGGAGTTGAAACGAAGAAGTTATGGTTGTTTGAAGTTGAAGTGGATTTTGGGAAAAACGACTTCACCACGACGTGGAGTGTTGTGCAGCCCAAGCCCATTAAATTAGGGTTTGGCTTGTATTTAAGGACTTCAACCCCTTGTTTTATGTCATTTTCTAGCCTCCATTACACCAAGAAACCCTTTTTTTAGCAAACCTTAGCCTCCCTTCATAGATTTAGCCCCTCCCTTCTCCTTGGACCTCTTTTGGGAGCTTTTAATGGTGATTTGTAACTCCCGCAGATTCGGGCTAGTCAATTTAGAGATAATAAGCGTTAGAAAATGACTTTTGGATAGAAGATTATTTAGGATAAAAAATCTTAACCAAAGTAATAGTATATGTGTAACGCCCATAGATCCGGGCTAGTCAATTTAGAGACGATAAGCGTCAAAAATGACTTTTTGATGGAAGATTATTTAGAAGGAGTAATATTAACTAAGTTGTAGTATATGTTACAAGGATTCCATACATATAAAGAATGCCGAAATCCGAGTTATAACGAAGAAGTTATGACGTGTCGAAGTTTCGCGACAGAACCGGCACGACACAACGCGACGTAAATAGTGAATTTACGTTAGAGCGATATTTGGCATTAGCGATCTAAATGAAAGTCGTAGAATACGTTAAACCGAGAGTGTGCATAAAAAGAACGTCCAAATCTGACTTCGTATGAGGAAGTTATGATTTTTCTAAGTTTCGACTTAGTGGTATGCAACCCAAAGTTCGATTATGAGATCAAGTGATTTCTAGCCGAAATAATCTAAACGAGAATCGAAGATCTCGTCGATAGTATTCCAACGGTAAAAAGACAGACGAAAACGGATGTCAGATGAAGGAGTTATGAATTAATAACGGAGTTTTCCTGTCCTGGCCTACTAAAAATAATATGTTAGGACCTGAAGTGTTGCGTCCTTGGGCTCGGTCCTTAGCCCAGTTTTGTTACCGGTTTGGGCCTGTCCAACCGTGTTTATTTTTAATTAGGGTTTAGTATTTAAGGTGCATTCATGCATCCTTTGTGATTAGTGCTTTCATTATTATTCTCATTATTGTACTACAAACCCTAGCTCGCCTCTACAGTGGAAGTTCTTTATCGAGCTCTGCTGAGGCGTGACTACTTTTGAATCATTAAGCAATACTTTGATTCCATCTCTTGTTTACTGTGTTTGTTTGCTTTTACTGATTAACCTGTTGAAGATCTAATCGATCTAAGAGTTTTTCAACTCATCAATTGGTATCAGAGCAGGAGACTGTGCAATCCATACACATCTCTTCTGTTGAAGAAGATCTTAGGGTTTTCCGCTTTGATTGATATTGTTAGAGCCGTCATCTGCCATTGACGTAGTTCTTTGATATTCGATCTTACCCTAACGTTATTTACAAGTCTGATCTTAAGCAGGTTTTTGAACAAAC